AAGTAAAGCATTTTATCTTGTTTATGAGAAATATTAAATCAGAGATAAACGATCTTGTGTGCATTTTTTCCCCTTTGCGCCCAAGTATCAACATTGATATTGTAAATAATTGACCGTAAAAGTGATTTTTACTTTTGTACTTGCACACTGAAAAGTCATGATTTGTTTTTTTACTATTTGAGATCGCAACCAAACCAATGTACTGTACTTAAATGTTCAAAATAAATTACCGGTAAATGACGTTGTTTTTTTTTCCTCGGTGGGTGTACTTCATTTCGCCACTTTTTTTGATTTTTATTTTATTTTTTTTTACTTACAGACTGACAAAATGTATTTGAATTTGAAATTGCAACTGGTCTACTTGAAAGTTCAAATGAGGTTACGGGTCAATTGCTTTTGTTTTCCCCCCAGCGGCTGTATTGTCATTTGCGTGACACGACTTTGACCACAAAAAAAAAAAAATTAAAAAAAAACTGTGCACATAAGCAAAGCGGATTCGCTTTCAAAGGTTCGAAGGGCAACAATTTTAATCGAATCAATAGCCGTGCGAGTATTGCCGCCACTTGTGGCCTTACCTCCAGATAGATGCAGACAGCACATGACTCATTGATGACAAGTTGCCCATCATGGAAGGTCGGGAGCTTTCGCAAACCAAAACAGTTGAAACGGGTTACATAACACACGTCATCGCACGCGAACGGCTCCTTGCAAGCGAACTTACTTGGCCCCTGGGGTTAATATCGAGCACCCTCTTCGACTTGTGCTCCATCTTCTCAAATGAGAGTTGGTGGCTGTTGTAGCCGCGGAGATCTTTCTCCTCCAGGGCGATCATCACCCTCCAGCACGGAGGAGAGCCGGCGCCCCAGTACAGAGTCATGTCCTTGGCCATGGTTGGATTTGCAGCGAGGTCCACAATCTGCACCGCGTGTCCAAAGGAGGGCTGAGTTGAATCGCGGCATGTCCGGATATATAATAACGCGGAGGTGGGGGGGAGGGGGCACTTTCGGTTTGGGCGGAGAGGTGAGTCCCGACATGAATTGGCATAGTCACGCCCCCTAATTAAACTAAACTAATATTTGATTGAAAGCTTAGGTAAAAAAATTATACTTCAGTGCATTTTTATAGGATGATGGAATAATTTTCAACGGTTGTGCTTACTCTTTGATGTTTACGGAGGGGGTGGGGGGCGCGCGGGGGTCTGTTAAACATTTAAAAAAAAAAAAAAGGAACTTGACATCGCTCCCACTGATTATATTACGACATATATTACTATTGAGGATTATTACGTCTGGATTGCAGTTGCCTGTCGTGTCTTTTCATGCAACGTCACGATGACTAAGCACTTTTCTTTTCCCCTTGCCCGCTCTGCAGATGCGTGCACAATCGGTTTTTTGTGCATAACTGAAAAACAAATAAAACATGCAGAGGCGTGCGCCAAACTTCACCAGTTCAAAGGAAAAAAAAAATCACATTTGATGACAAACACATTTTTCAGAGTTGCATCAAATGACATGGCACACTTGTGGGACTGCATCGAATCTTTGCCGGCTACATGAGTTGCATCAAATGACTTTGCACTTGTGGGACTGCATCGAATCTTTGCCGGCTACACAAAAGACAAAGTCATCTCGCAGAGCATGGACAATTATGACTCCGAATTCGATGCACTTTGTTTCATGGTTCAGCGCCAGTGCGGTACAATACAGCCCATATCAACTTTCTCGTATCTATTGTCAAGAACAGATCAGGTGACAGTCGTTATTCATTACGCAAGCCTCCTTGGTGGAGTTTTATGATACTTCCGAGTGTAGCCTGACAAAAGCCGATCCAATTTCGACGCTTTTCGTGACACAAGCGGCGGCAGAATCAAACATGAATATCTGCCCACATATGAAATATTAAGTTGAGCTCGTGTCAACATTTGAGAGAGAAAAAAAAAACTCCCAAGTCATCATGACAGCAAAAAGGACTGTTGTTTGCACAACAAAAACCTGACTAGGCGTGGCGGCGATTTGAAGTTTGGTGGGACAGGAGTCAATGTCATACCTTCTTGTTTGGTCATGGATTCAACAGTGACTTGCAAAAAATGAAGACTGCACAATAATTCATTTTAAAGTGCTTAATTTGATTGGATCCTTTTTTTCTTTTTTTTTTTTTTAAATCTGAACAAAAATTGCCTTTGAATGAACAAAATAGGCATAACTCTTTCCTTCTTATCGTGCAGAAATCAAATTTGATCAGATGTCGTTCTAACAGTGCAAACGATATTTTGTTTTTCGAATCAACGCGACAGGCTGCAGATGCCGGTGGCGTGGACCATCACACGTCTTTGAGTGTGTCTTCTCCCTTGGGTTGCTCCAGCCAGTGAGGAGGCCAGCTGGCTTTGATGCTGGGTCGATCCTTCAGCAGAGCGTAGTACGCGGCCACTTTGGGGTAACGCTCAGCTGGCAACCTTCAAATACGAAAGAGGAGAAATTCGTGGTTGAATTTAAGAAGTGGAAATTCCTCCTGTGGGTGGTAGAACAATTGTACAAGTGTGCAAATGTCACTTGTCAATGAATGAATGACTGAAATTGCCATTCATAAAACCTGTGCTCTGTGCAAGCAAACCGCAGCCAGCGCGAAGCCTTTCGTCAACAGGAGTCGACAGTGACAACGGGCTGAATGAGCTGCAGCTGTTTGATGCTCTTTTGAGAGCGGTCCAGTGACGGAGGCATTAGAGGTCATTGTGTCAAGTGTGTCAAGTGTAGTGGGCATATCATGCCCAGCCTCCCAACTCACCCGAATCTGAATAGATTAGCAACAATCGGGAATACAATCACATCAGCCAATGTGAAGGACGTTCCGGCCAGGTAGGATCCCGCCTGCAACGACGGGCGAAATGAAGCGAGCTTGACGGACAATCTGAACTAAGCTAGTATTTTGTGTTCCCACCACGCTCACCTTGTCCAGGTAACCCTCCCACAGCTGCAGCTCCGCGGCGAGGGTTTGGCAGTTCCTCTTGATGGTGGAGGCATGTCTCTCGCCTTCAGGCACGTAATACTCGTAGTAGATAACGGCTCCTAGAAATAAGGCGAGACAAGAACTTGGTAACTAACGGGCTAATTCCATGGGGAAGTTTTCCAACTGTGGCATGTCATGACCGTGAGGCTATTTAAGGCTGGCGAAAATGATTTCAGATCTGTTTTAAGTGCGGGGGGATCATGAAAACAGTCCAAAGTTTTCACCAGCCCTCTTATTTAACGTCTTACCTAATTTGTCGTAGAAGGCCAGGCCCTCAAACATGCGCTGGTACATGAGGGCTTGTTCGGCGGGGCCGTCTGGGATCAGCTTGGTCCCCTGACTCTTGAACTGGCTCTGCAGTCAACAAGGCAAATGTTCAAAACAGGCTTACGCCTCAATGAACAACAGCGACGTTTGGTCTTTTTTGTTTTGACTCACCTCCAGGTAAAAACAGGCTGCGTAGGATTCGTTCAAAATGTTGTCTCCATGTTTGAAAGAAGGAAGCTGAAAGAATCAATTGATTGAGCATGTCGATGGAATTTGCACAACAACCTACAGGGTGACAAGTTGATGCGAACGAGCAGTTCGTGGCACTCAAATCGTCCTCACGTTTACATTCAAACCAAAAGTTGGGCACAAAAGCAAATAAGGCGAGCGAAAGTGTCTTTCTTCCACCTCGCCAATTGTGTGTATTTTCATTCAATCTATCAGAGCAGTAAATATTTTGACGCATTACTTTGGGTTCCGCTCTTTTTGAACTTGCACATGAAATCATTTAGTAGTTCTATTTCTTACTCTTGATCCAAGCGTAGTGCTGATGCATCCAACCGTTGATAATGTTTCTGTGGCATTAAATATATATATAGGAATAAACTCGCTCTCCTTTTCTGATGAACAGTCTTTCTTTATGTGGTAGGCTCCTTGTAAAACGTGTGAGAACCACCCGTTTGGTACTCAAAGTCCGTCTTTGATTTTAAAATCCTCTCTTTTTTTTAATTTATTGTCAATTTGGCAGTAAGCCCTTATTGGGGGGGGGGGTGCTGAACATGTATCATGATTACATAACTTTTGCACAGATGCCCATTTTTGCGCCCGACAAGCAAATAACAGGACCTCGACCCAGGCCGAATGATGATATCTCTGCCTTTGTGATTTCGCACGAAGGCGAAAATTATTTTCAACCACTGCATGCACGCTTCTTCTCACCTGTCCCCTGGGGTTTATAGCCAAAACCTCTGGTGACTTGTGTTCCTGCTTCTCGAAGGAGAGCAGCTTTTGCTTGTACCCTTGCAGCTTCTTCTCCTCCAGAGCTATCATCACCCTCCAGCAGGGAACTGAACCGGAGCACCAAAAAAGTGTCATGCTCTTTGCGGCCATGACGGACGGACGGACGGACTTGTTTTCGGAAAGTTGATGCGTAGGACACATACACTGACTGCCGAGATGGCCTAGAAAAAAATTAACTTCTTGCTCAATGTTTAATTCTTCGCCAGTATGACGGCGTTATACAAGATACTGACCCCTGGCGGTCGAATGTGTCTCGAGCACGCGAGGAATCGTCTTCCTTTCCTGGGGCGCAACGGCCGTTGAGAATTATGATCCATATCTGATCCGCCTATTCCGACAAGGGTCGCGGGGGTGCCGCAGCCTGGCTCATCTGTCTTCGGGCAGGCTGAATGATTGGCATGATAATTTTAGGTCCATTACCGCCCCCTACCGGTAGTTTAAAGAACGATTAGATTCGGTTCAATTTGCCATCGCAACAGATTTTACAATTGAACTTATTTTCTTGGTTACACACACACACACACACACACACACACACACACACACACACACACTCACACACACACACACACACACACATTCCTATTGCTATCTTTCTTGTGGTTGGTGGGGAAGTGCACTGTTGACAAACAGCACATTAAAAGTGCATTTGAAAAATGCACTTCATACAAAGTGAAATCAAATCAAAATGGCACATAACAGAATGGAATCATATGCCAACGCCCTCTCGCCTCCACACACAGTTTTATTTTTATTCTGGTAGAACATGTCCAAACAGCATTTCAAGTGAGACAATTGGACTTCATGGTCTGCCATATATGCGGTGATGTTTCCCAGGTTGTTGAAGGGCCTTCATTTCCTTCAGCTTGATAACGTTTACAAAAACAAAATGCTTTGAAAGCAAAAGTAGCGAGGAGTACCTCCATAAAAATAATACTTCCCTCTACACAACCAAATCTACAGTTTCCATTTGTGTTTGATCATATTTTACAGATTAGGCTCTTCTGTTTGTTTTGCTCCAACTATAATACAGCTTTCTACAGATATTATAAACACAACTTGAAGTGCACTGCACGTGCACGCTACGAACACCGATGTAACAGGGCATGTACACGTCTTCGCTGCATGTCTTTCAAATACTTTAATAATTGTAAAAACAAACAAACAAAAAAAAAAAACAATCTTGTCTTTTTACACTTTACAATCAGTTCCTCAAAAATAAAAACTCCCTGTACCGTGAGAGTGACTTAGTAAGGGTGCAAAAAGCTTGAGAATGAGACTGAGAGCTTTCAAATACATACTGAGAACATTTTCGCCCCAAAACAGAAAAGTTAATTTTCTGCAACTCCGAGGAACTTAACAGATAACAGAAGCAGGTGAGTGAAGCAATACAGCATTGTCCCTTTTGATCCGAGAAAGGCACACAGCCAATTGAAGACCTTTTCGTTGCCACAAGCGACCGTTTCAGGTTTGCCTTTCTCGTGTTGATTCTTGTTGTCTTAAGGTACTTTGGAACGAGGGTGCGAGTGATCAGTTTATCTTTGGGTCATACGTTCACAGCTTAAATAGGAGTCACGGTGACGTCATTAAATAACAGTTGTTTCGATTAGCGCTAGTGGCAGCATCGCTTTTTTCCTCCTGGTCACGATGCCTCCTCTTTGTTCATCACACCCTCAGGAGGATTGTCTTTGTGCAGCATTCAAACAAACAAAAAACAAAACAAAACAAAACAAAACAAAACAACAACACTGACTCCAGCACTCAGACACATCCGGCAAGGTTAGCAGCTGACAGAAACCTGGAGCTTCTGCTTGGTGCAACAAGTAGACTGTGTAGCAAAGGCAGCCGGCGGGGTGAAGGGCAGAGACCGGGTTGCCGACGGCGACCAGGACAGACCGCCAGAGGGGCGTGGATTACACTTGCGGCTCGCCGCAATCGGTCAAACCCAACGCCAACGCTTCTTCCGGGGTCAAACCGTTCTTCAGGGTCCGCCTCACTGATAGAAGAGGAAAATTCACGTCAAGTCTTACCAGCTCAGAGCGCGAATACAGAAATTATGCCATGGATGGAAATACTTGTGCGCATTTATTGCTAAAAATGCGCTGAATCGACCATTTGTATTCACACGCGACAATTCAGTCAACTAGTAGAATGACAATGTCTCACGATTCATGTTTTTCCACTGTCACATGATTTTTATGCATCCTAGTTGAATGACCAAATCAGACTAAGGAATTTTTTTTTCACTGTGTTCCACTACTGTCGTGCTGGTTACTAGTGAAGCACGAGAAAACTTTTTAATGTCACTAGTAGTACTAGTTTCCAACAGTATGGTGGATTTTTAGTCTTGCTGCGCATGGCGCTTACGTGATTTTCGGTTGGCCCTCGACCTCCTCCTCTCTCGTGGTTGCGGTCTACTTCCTGGAGCCTGAGTGGCGGACCTCACGATGCGTTCCATGATCTCATCGGCGGTGTCGTCTCCGCACACCTGAGCGTCTTCCACGGCCGGCGTCCGCGCCCGCATGCTGCTCCCTGGAGACACACGTTCTCAAATTGAACGTTCAAAATTGGATTCAATCGGTCCTTTGTCGCGCAGTCGCGCTCACCTCCCCGTCCCGGTCTTGATCGAGTGCGCGTCCGTAGGCCCGGCACACCGCTTCCGTCCTTGTCGGCACCGCAGCTAAGGCTCGTTCGAAGCACGGCTTTCATGTGCTCGTGTTCTGCGGCATCCTCTGCGTGGCCCAGACCTTGGGGCTGATCGCTCTGGCAGCCACTAGGGGCGCTGCTTGGACCATACCTCCCACTCTGAATACAAAGATAAGAGGGCAAAGGTCAGCTGGACCAGACCAGGACCCAGAGATCAGAATGTAATACTCCAGTCGTGAATATTTCACACGGGCTCCCAGTCAACTGTAGAATGGAGTTTAAAATTCTTTTGCTAGTCTATAAATCACTGAATGGCCAAGGTTCAGAATACTTTAATGAGATGCTGATGGAATATAAACCCAGTTGGGTCAGCAAGCTTGTGTCAATTCGCCAAGCTAACAATTCAAAGTAAACATGGTGCATCAGCATTTAGCTGTTATCCTGCATGCAAATGGAATCAGATGCCAACAGAACTGAAGTTACATACTTCTTGTCCTTGCCCTGTACATTCGCTCAGTCCTTTTAGTGAACTACTTTTTATGTCTTGACTTTGCTTTTAAAAGTCTTCATTTTTCTTGCCTTGTATATTGTATTTTGCCTTTGAATGCCGTATTTTCACCATATGAGGCCGACTGAGTTACCTGGTGCCTGAAATGCGGCATATCGATAAAGCTGCCTTGCCTTGCCTGTAACTCGAGTGCTGTTGTTGTCTCGTGCTTACTTTGCAGGATGTAAATATCGTATATTTGACTAAAGTGAAGAGGACATTAGCAAGCATGTCTTCCTCAGTCAAAGATCTCGGTCTCGATTCTAAGCTCGGGACGGCCCTCCTGTATCGTGTTTGCACGTTCTCCTCATGTTTGCAGGTCTTTCCTCCAGCTTCCTCACACATTCCAAAAACATGCACATTAGCGTCATGTCGGACTCGGACTTGTCCCTTGGTGGCAATGGGAAAGGTTGCACATGCCTTGCGATTGGCTGGTGACCACACAACATGGATTGATGGGTAAAACGTCATTTTGAAACACAATAATATTTCAGTGAAATCAATTTTGATTGAAAATGAGAAGATTGAAAGTTACAGGGAGTGATATCATGCACACACGTAAATGCACATGCAGGTACCTCGCTCTCCTCTTCATCATCAGACTACACAGGAGAAAATAGGCAAAGTCAAAGAACAGCACAAAAAGGATCGAGGGAGGAATTTAAAGTCGCGGCGCTCCGTTTAGAGGAAGAAGAGCGGGAAAATGAACCTGAGGGTGCGGCGAAGAGGTCTTGTTGGCGGGGCAACTCACTGTCGCGTCGACGTCCACAATCATCTTGCCTCGCGTCTTGTTCCGCTCGCGGTGGTCGGCGCGTTTCTGTTTTTGCTGCAGCACGCGGTCTCGGGTCGTCCGGTACTCCAGAGCGAACTCGCTGAGGATCTTACTGAACCTTTGCACGCTGACGTCTCTCGCGTTGTAAGCCGGCTGCCCCAGAAACAACAGGAATGAATGGAACCTGGTCGGAAAAGGAGGACAAGTAAGTGAAAAAGCAAAGTTCATTCATATTCTTTTGATATTTTATAAATTTTCGAAATATCGATTCATATATCATCCATTTCCTATTGCGCTCGGTCTATGCATCACAGAACTCGAGTCACGATTTCACGCTTTCTTGTTTTCTCGGAGGAGCCAATGCTCAGCTATTTGCTGAAATGTCAGAAGAAGCCACAAGAGGACGCCAAAGCTCAACCTAGGTAGGAATTGCTCGAGCAGAAACACAAAACCTCTGATCTCCAGAATTTTCACTTTGGATGATGAGAACTCGTATTCGCTCTGTCTTTGATGTGCGAGTGAAAAATCAACGTGACCAAAACCTCTCATCAGGTTCGCTGGAAAAGTTTTCAAGTGCAATAGCTGTTATCTGCATCCGATGTCAGATTTCAGGTCGGAGGCCTTGAGTTTCGGATGTCAATACAGTGATGCATCTTGCCCAAGAGACAAGCTTTGTGTGTCGGGGGAAAGCTAAATTGAACCTGGGTTATTCCTGTTAGCAAACATGTCCTTGTGAGGAGCGCCACCTATTCATGATCCTGCGGTGGACGATCTTGAGGATGATGATTCGCTCCGCGCAGTCTTTGAGGAAGTCCGACATCTTCTGCTTGAGCTGCGGTTTCATCTCGTGCTTGGCAATCACCTTCAGGTGGTCCCACGAGGCTTTGCAGCGACGCTCCATCTGACCCAGGTTCTCCTGCAGCAGGTCGAAATCCACCTGCCATCGATAAGGAGAATTATCACGATACGTCGGTGGAAAAGCTCATTCGGAAGCCAAGTGGAAGCCTTAATTAGCTTACATTAGTTCATTTGCAGCACATATCGTCCAAAGCAATGTGATTTGCCATATTTGCAAATGTGTATCGTTACCACGAAAGGCCCACCTTTGCGGAACGTGTGATGGCCCCGATTTCCGAGTAGAGGTCCGTGCTTTGAGGAAAGTTCTCCACCACCACAGAGCAGGCGTGATGTAACAAAGACTGTTTATGGACCGTGTCCTTTACTTCGGGCACCTTCTGCAAGTATGTCAGCTCGAAACCTTTCGCCTGGACACATCATTTATTTGTCAAAAAACAAACAACAAGAAAACAAAAAAACATGTAAAATAATCTGCTCAGCATATAACTGGAGCCTCCAAAAAATCAGTCCAGAAACGGCAGCGGTCTACCCCATTCACAGGATCCCGACTCACGTTGGTTCCATTGAGGAAGTTCCCGATTGCCAGCAATGTGGAGAGAATGTAGCGGAGAGTCTTGTTCTTCTCCAGTTGTTCCATCCCCTCCTTGAGATCCTGCAATGGCTCAGCTACTTCCTGCGGGAGAAAAAAAAGGTCACGCAACCAAGTATCATTTTGTACGAACAAACTACAACGCGTTAGCGCCCCCCGCCCCCACTACCCTTGCAAAAAAATAAAATTAATCGCATACAGTGGGTTGAGGTCAGTCGAGCTCGGCTAGAAATATGGGCTTCAAAGGAAATCTCAAAGAGGAGCGTGCCCTGTGAGAAGCGCAAAATCTTACAAGACGACATGAAACGCTGTTTTCCTTTGAGAGATTCTGACTTTGAACTCTGTATGAGTAACATGTGATGCGCCAGAGGAGGACCGCTAATAAGCTGTGTGAGGTAACTGCGTTGATGTTGAGCGGATGTTGGCACGGCACAGATGGAGCGCACATTTCCACCATCGACGGACAAAAGTATTGAGACGGGTCAAGTTGGGAAATGTCAATTGAAGCGCGCGCGGAGTCGATACTCATCGACAGACCTTTTCCGTCGCCTCGTAGTCCATCTTGAAGGCCCACAGCTGGAGTCGGGCGGCGAGCTCGCTGATGGAGGACAAGGTGAGCAGGAACTGCTCGGCCGAGCCCATCGGGGTGTCAGGATTAACCAGCTGAGCCTCCTGGATCTTCTGCGTCTCCTCCTCCGTGGGGATCATCGTGAGAATTTTCTGTTTGATGGGCGGACACGAGAGTGGGCGACCACACCTGCGGCCGGGTTCCTTTTATTTCCATCCTTGTGTCCATATACCTCAATGCCTTCCTTGTTGAGCGCATATTCGTCAAAGTTGAGGATTGCCGTCTTGATGGTGCGAGGTGGGGGCAGGACGGTCAGGCCGATGTTGATGGCGTTGCTCCTTTTGGAATCCAGCACGATGATCTCTTGCCGCTTGCCGTCCGCTGCCGTTTTCTAAGAGAGGCAAACACAGCGAGAAGCTCACCGCTGGGTCTCGTTGGTCTCCGACCGTGACTGACTTTTCTCAAACCCTGTGGTCCATTTGATGGGCTTTTAAAGATTTAAAAGCTCATCACGTTGGTTTTATTGTCTGCAGCTGCGGGCGACTCAAAAGTTTTGTTTGAGGGAGGAGCACCTCATGAGATGCAGGATCCAATGAGGCGCAGGACGCCAGTTCGTGCAACGACGTAGCGATGACGGTGAGTGTGGTTGCGGATTGCAACGGCGGGGAACATTATACTCGGGGATTGATAATATTTTGACAATCCTATTCAGCTCATTGAGTTAACGTTTTGCACATTGCCGATAATCCTCCGAAGCCGAAACTGACGGAAAACAAGCATTGTGTGTTTGGCCTGTGGAGCGATTTGTTCGTAAGAGGCACGTCTCCAGCTTTGAAGCTTTTTGGTGGTCCTCGACGCCCAAGAGCCCCACGGTGACTGACAGATTTAGAGGACTGAGACCCGAGTTGTTTTATTAAGACTTTGCGTAGACCTCGGCTGTAAGTCTTTGGAAACTCAAACTCAATTCAAAGTGCGCGAGGGCGCATCTCAACTCCTCTTGGTTCCAGGCTTTGTTGGGCCTTCAAAAACGCAGTTGTTTGATCTCGATCAGAACACTCACGACCTGGCTTAACCTAAAAGAACGAAGAGAAGGCTTACCTTCATCACCGGCATTTCTTTCGACTTGGACTCAAACAGATGTTCCAGTTTGGCTGTGTCTAATTTCACTGAATCCAGTTTGGACCAAACCGAGTCTCCATTTCTCTTGTAGTCCCTGTGCGGCGATTCTGGACGCACCTGAACACACAGTCGGGATGCCATGACTTGAACAAAAAATGTGATTTGAGTTTTCCCTGCTGCCCCCACCAGCGGTCTGATGAGTCACGAAAAAAAAACATTTGGCCATTTTCGGCAAATCAAAAGAAAATGCTTTCCAGAAAAGACACGTTAACAGCATCCAAAGTCAAAGAGGAATGAACACACCTCGTATGTGCACGGCACGCGCCAAAGCAGAAGATTCGTGTTGACGTGCCTCACCTCATTCCAGAACAACCTGATGGTCTTCTTCTTCTTGTTGAAGAGAAGAGGCTCGGGAGGAGGAGGAGGAGGCGGCCCGGGCATTCGGGAGCTCAACGACGGCGGAGGCGGAGGAGGCAGCATCATCGCCGACAAGGGAGGAGGTGGCGGACAAGTGCCCAGCACGGGCGGGGGCGGAGGGAAGGAGGCCAAGGAGTGCGGAGGAGGCGGCGGCGGAGGGGGCGGAGGAGGAGGAGGAGGGGGCGGCAGGTCGCCGCAGCCGCCCATCAGAGTGGCGTCCAGGATGTCGACGTCGTCGTCCTCCGTCAGGTCCGTGAAGTTGATGTCGCCGATGCGCAGCTCTCGAGGGCTGGCTAAGAGTTGGTCCCAGATGGTGTCCGACTCCTTTTTGGGAGGAAGGAGTGGCGTCACATCGTCGCCTTGGATGTCCAAGTGAGGGTGGGGGCTGCTCATGTCCTTGATCAAGTCCCCGAAGCGCTCGGCGAACTGGCGTATGCTCCCCCGTTGCTCGGATTTGTTGTCCGCCAGTTCATCGCTCGACTGTCCCTCGGCGTCCTTGTGCATCTCCTCTTTCTCCTCGCCCTCTCCTTCTTCTTTCTCCTTCTCGGCGTCCTCCTCTTCCTCGCACGGCTTCTTGTTTTGCGAGTACAACATGTCCAGCATGAAGAGTTTACTGTTGAGTTTGCTGCTTTGCTTGTTGACTTCGTCTTCTTTGAGGGCTGAAAGAAAGAAGATGAAGGGCAAGTATGAATCGTCCTGCAGAAGCACACATTTCTTGAAGCACTACGTTGCGCTGCACTTGTCGTACTTCAAAGTCTTTTATACAGTCCGGGTATTTGATTTGTGGATGGTTGTTTTAAAAATGCTATTGTTGTCTGCGATGTTTATTTTCAAACTTGCATGCAAGAATTGCACATTTTGAAAAACTAAAACTCATTAAAAAAATGAACCCAGTCTCAAAACTAATTCAAGCTAAAAAAAAAATTCAATTCAAAAACAATGACCCCGACCAATAATGAAATTTCCCATACAAATATAACCCTGGTTGCCCTTCAAAGGTTTGAAATAACGCCCGGTGGACGACTGGTTAGCACGTCGGCCTCACAGTGCAGAGGCGCAGGGTTCGATTCCGACTCCGGCCTTCCTGTGTGGAGTTTCCATGTTCTCCCCGTGCCTGCGTCGCTTTTCCTCGGGTATTCCGGTTTCCTCCCACACCCCAAAAAAAAAAAAAAACATGCACGGCAGGTTCATGGAACCCTCTTAATTGTCCTTCGGTGTGATTGTGAGCGCGAATGGTTTGTTCGTCTACGTGTGCCCTGCGATGGGCTGGCAACCGGCTCAGGTTGTACCCCCGCCTACTCTGCCCGAAGGCGGCTGCGATAGACTCCAGCACGCCCGCGACCCCCGGTGAGGATAAGCGGATGAGAAAACGGCTGGACGGAAACAGCCGAAATGGCCTCACCGTTCCGGGCTGGCAACCGGTTCAGGTTGTACCCCCGCCTACTCTGCCCGAAGACGGCTGCGATAGACTCCAGCACGCCCGCGACCCCCCGGTTAGGATAAGCGGATGAGAAAATGGCTGGACGGAAACAGCCGAAATCGCCTCACCGTTCTCCGCGTTCGCTGGCTCCTCTCTCTCCAGGGTGCTGCTGGCTGAAGAGATGCTGGAGGCGGAGCAGTTGTCCTTCTCGTTCACCTCCTCATTTTGCCGCTCCTTGTCGCTCAGGATGCCGCTGTCCTCCTCCGCCTCCTCGTGCTCCTTTGCCGCTTGAGGCTCCTCCTCCTCCTCCTCCTCCTCCTCGCCTTCCCCCTCGCTTTCTGTCTCCGCTTCCTCTTGGGCCTCCTCCTTTTTCTCCTCCTCCTCTTGCTCCTCTGGTTCTTCTTCAGCCTCTTTGTCCTCGGGTCCTACGCTGGCCCTCGAGTCATCGGCTTCCTCTGTCACCGAGAAATACATTCTTTCTTTATTTTCCGCAACACTCGTATCCAAATGCCACGGAAACGTGGTGTAACACCTCGCGTTTTTCGCGGGGTTCAAGGGGACTTCTGTTTGTACAAGGACACGGGGGTCAACGCACATCTGCACGCACGCTCGCAAGTAAAACAAACATGACTCGACTAATGCCAAACCACATCCCAGGCACACAAAGTCGGGTTGTGACGGCAATTGGAATACGAACAGGAAATGAAGAACCTGTTTGCCTCGAAACACAACTCGGACTACAGTGGGCGTAGTGATGCCGGCGAGGTTAGAAAAACAACGGTCGTGAGGCCTCGTTGCCCGACTCAGCTACTGTACACGCCTCACGGCTGTGCGCTCCCCCCAAAAAAAGAAGGCACTTTTAGAATAGCCCTTTCACCCATTTCCCTCTATCTTGCATTTCGTTTTTTCAAAGGAGCACCCCTCCGCTGCTTTTGCTTCAGCTCCCACTTCACTTCAACTCGGTTTGCAGTTTCCGAATGCACCTGTTTGTGTTTTTTCAGTGTCATCTATCAATCCCGAGGTATTCGCTGGAAGACTCATCTTTTCATGGTTTGGTCAAGACGGTGCCAAAGTGCTGTCGAAATGGAAAAGTAGTCGCGTTCCCCTGCTATTTGCAGGGGTTGGAGACCAAAATCAAGAACCCTATTTTTCTGACCAGAAGTTGCTCCACGAATGAAGTCGCACCAATCGAAATTTGCACCACAAAGAAGTAATAAAAGCAAAAGCAAAGTAATAATTCTATTATAGACAAGGTTTTGGCCTTAGTACAAACAAAGCAAATAGGCGCGCGTTGCAGCGGTTTAAGGGCCGGCGGTGTCTTCAGCTTCGTCGTCGGCCTCGGCCTCCTCTCGCGACGATGGGGTGCCGCTGCGCGTCGACGACGACCGCCACGTGTCGGAGGGTTCGAAGGTCAGGTCGAGGTCGGGGTGAGTCCTCGGCCCGCGGGGAACGCGCTCCTTCTCGTATTCCTCGGCCGCCAGGCGCTCTACATTCTTATACCTGCCAGGGCGGATCGCACAAGTTCGGTTTCAATGAGGAATAAAGGCATGCGTCACACTTGTTTGGTTGCTTTGAAGGTGTTTACGTTCAATCGCCTTTCCCCCGCTTCCTCCTCTCACCGCCCCGCACCATCCAACCTGCCGGCTGGAGATTGAGATTGGTGCAGGGTGGACTTTCTTCCTCTCTCTGCTCCTTCCCCTAACCCCTCCTCTCTTTCCCATGAATATGTGGCCCTTCTGTTCCCAGTTCATTAGCATCAGACCACTTCAGAGGTCCAAGGGGAACTGGATACTGCTTTGTGTGTGTGTTAGTACGGTGTGGGGTGAGGGAAGAAGTGTGGCCAACTGTGTATTGTGGTGGATGAAGCGGCAGTCCCGTCTGCAGAGCGCTGAGATCCAAACACGACCCCCCAGCCCCTGCCAAAGAACCCTTTGAGTGGATGGATACAATAAGGTTTCCTCTTGGCAAGGTGAAGCACTGTATGCTAAGTATTTCTATGAGGGAAAGGCCACACACACACACGCACACACACACGGTTTCATCGCGGTTGACGCTCTTAGTGAGCAGGGAACGCAAAATATTTGCATCAGTATGCAAACGCGCGAGTGACATCTCGGTTCCGCATGTTAGCCGGCGTTAATTCTCATGAGAAGTGAGGGAAACTTTCACACGAGTGCTGGAACTTGTACAAAATGAGGGCATTTTTATTAGTTTTAGCATCAATTTTAGTTTTTTTTTTTTTTTAATATATGGAGTATTTGTTGAGTGCAAAATTTTTACAAAAGGTCACTAAGTATTGGGTCGTTAAGTACTCAAAGAACCGACGGATGTACTGCAAGAGTATTTCATTCATGAACACATTTGAATTCTTATGTTCGTTTTCATGAACTGTAATAACCTTGGCCCCCACTGAACTATTTACAATTTTACAGTGAAAAAAAAAAAAAAAAGGATGCTCGCAAAAAAAGTAAGCAGCTTTGACTGTAAAAATAACACTTGCATGATGGACGACTTCCTACTAAATGACAAAATCTTTTCATGTTTCCGACCAATAATCTCCTGCTGTGCGTGACGGGAGAGTGTCTGTGAACGGGGATCTGTGCACACAGCAAATAAACAGGAAGGAGTCGAGGATCATAAAGCCCAAAAAGTTCATGTATTTGTTTTGGTGACGGCAAAGCGAGGAAAGCAGGCTACAATGTCGGTGCCTGTATGGCAAAACTGTGTGAGCGCTTCCTCCGTGATGTGCTGCATTTCAATTTTTTTTCTTATGCTTACCTTTCTTCCCGCGCCACCCTGGCCTCTTCCATTTTATCCACATAGTCTCGGCTGTGGCACACACATTGACAAAAAAATTGAAGTATGATCAGCAAGTCGTGATAAATTGTGATGTCACGTAACCGCACGGAGAAGAAATTTTGATGCGTTTTGTTTTTTTTTTTTGGGTCGGGGGGGTGGCAAAATAAGTGACAGTCCTTGAGGCACGAGAGTTGCATTATCTGACTGTGGATCAGGTGATTTGAGAGTTTTTTTCCCTTCCCCGTACATGAAAGCAAAGCCTATAAAATAGCATGCACGTCACCCTCAAGCCAAAGCCAAGCGGAACCCAGGGCACACCTGTGTTTGGTCCTAAGTAACAGTCCTTGAGGCACGAAAGTTGCATTATCTGACTGTGGATCAGGTGGTTTGAGAGTTTTTTCCCCCCTCCCTGTACATGAAAGCAAAGCCTATAAAATAGCATGCGCGTCACCCTCAAGCCAACGCCAAGCGGAACCCAGGGCACACCTGTGTTTGGTCCTCTCCTCTCGTTCGATCCTTTGTAACCTCTCCTCCCTCTCCACGCGCCGCCGCTCTCGCTCGGCCGCCAAAGACTCCTGGTGTTGCCGGTACGAGGAGGAGAGGAGCCCTCCCAGGGGAGGCCTGAGGGAGAATAAAATGATCATTCTTTATTCGTTCTCTGAACCGTTTTCATATTGTCGTCATGTATCTGAGCAGCTCATTCGCCCGAGAGACACCTCAACATCGGGCACGAGTGAGTCCACACTGGAGCATGGAGACACACTGAAAAGGCATGACGGTGAGGGTGACATGTGGGCACTTGTGGGTCAGGTGACCTCACCTGGGACTGGTGGGTGTCGAGGGGCCGCTGTGAGTGGAGTAAGACGCGAGACCCCCGTTCCTTGGAGAAAAAAAAAAGGAACAGGAAACACCATGGCTGTGAGACGGCCATTTAAGCGAAGCAATATGTCGACTGAGCAGTCCGAGGCAAGAAAGTGAAACGTGGTTGGTGCGATTCCGCTCTGACCACAAAACCACGAATATGTTGGTGCGGGCTTTCATTTTATTATGGATGTGCAAGATTAGTTTCTCTGCGGTTACTTTTCCCGCCGCTCTATGTTTCACTGTCCGATCAGGTACATCAATCCATCATTTCCGAGAAAAGACAGAAGAAGGATTGAAATCAAACGACTTGAAGAGCAGATCCAAGCGCAAAGGGAACGATGCATCAAAAGAAGACTGAGAAAGTGAAAAGAGTCACCGCAAATACAAATGTTAAGAAGTGAGGAGAAGATCCATCAAAGTCCACAGGTGAAGAGTGAAAAAAACAAAATTGAGAGCAAAAAGGAACGGGGGAGGAGTGTGCCGGGAAGCAAAGTGAGTCTTCGAGCAAGTGCGGAAGCCTTTTTCAGTGACAGGATTAAAGAGAAGTGAAGTGACTAAAAAAGATCAGTGAACACTCGCAAAAGTGGAGATTGTGAAGAAGAAAAGACGGAGGAAAAAGCCCCGACCCCCAAGAAGAAAATTCAAGTCCGGGTGTCCCTCTGACCTTGGAACTGCGGGATTGTCCGTCTCCACACAGGGTTTGGGTGGAGATTGAGGTGACGTCTCGTCATCCAGATCGTAGGAGAAGAGGTGGAAGGGCGAGTGGGGCTTGTAGGGCAGGTGCTCGGGGGAGAAACAGGAGCCGCCGCGCAACGGCTGGCTGATCTCTTTGGTGGCCGGCACGGTGCTGGTCACCCTCTTCCTGGCCAACAGGGCGGCCAAAAGCGAGGGGGCGCTGAGGGGGGAGGGCATGGGAGGAGGGGGCGCGGGGGGCGGTGACACCGGCGCCAAGGGGGAGCTCAGGGCGCTTGCCGGAGGGGATGCCTTCCAATTGCCGGCATCTCGCTCATGGACGGGTTTGGACGTGATGGTGATGGACTGGAATGTCCGTTGAATGATAGATGGAAGATGCCTTACCGGGCTAGGGAGAGAAGGATCGGAAGAAGAGGTCAACGTGAAAAAGAAGGCAATGGCAATGGGAACCCAAACCAACTGCAAAACTGTCAACGTTTTGTCATCGTTTAGAGGAGCTCCTGAGGGTTTTTTAGGGTTTTTTTTTGAAAGACTCCGCAGTTTGACCCATTGTACCTGGTACTACTCGGGCTAGGCAAAAAAGCGTCATCGTTTTCATCGAAATCAGTCTCAGTCAGTACAGGCTCATCCTCTTGGGACTGCTTGATCACTGCATCCTCACATTCCTCATCTCTATTGGAAGGAGTCGGGTGGAGGGAGGGGGGTAGACAGGAGGTTTGATTACATGCACAGGCGGATGGCAGGAGAATGGATGCAAGGTGGAAAAGAATTACACAAAAAACATGACATCACAAACCCAGAATATGAATGAGAAATGAATCGAGCACCATTCAGAGGAACACCAGATCGTCTTTCATATCATGCAACTCTGCCCTCTAGTGGTTTTAAGCAGCATAGGTAAAGACGTCAGGGCAGTCGGATTGGAGGCTCGTTGGAAAGTTCCAATCAACCAAAAAAATGCTGAGCGATTTGCATTCTTGACGTGTTGCGGAACAGCATCTGGGCAGACGTTGATTTCAGCATTCACGCAGTCAAGATGCAACACGGGCACGGGACGTGAATTGATGGAGAGGGTTAGATGGAATGACGATGAAGCCTTGATTTCATGAACGCATGACGTCAGTCGTTCCACTTCGGAACCTCGATCACACACCATCAATATGTGGACACCATCCATGCAGCCTACAGTGGGCGCTTCCTAATCAAGAAGAAAAATCTTGGAAAACCCGTTGAACTTCGGAAGCTCGCTTCAAAAAGTGAAACTCATTATTTGTTGAGATGCACCTGTAATAACTTGCACAACGTATGATGCCAAACAGTCAGATGTTTTTTTTCCAAGTCATTCCAGATAACTCTTGTAAGAAGTAACGGATGGATTATGATTACTTTGCGCCTTTGTCTGCATCTCCCTCACCTCTCGCTAATCTCCTCGGGCCTGTGTCCGTTAAAGGGGTGAAAGACCGTCCTCTGGGGGGACGCGGGGCTGCAGGGGGACGCCTGCCCGGATCGCACCAGCGAAGCCCTGCGGCTTCGCCTCCTCTCCAAACCGCACCGCTTATCGCCGCCCCCGATGCTGGCTCGCCGGCGATCCCGGCGACCCGTCGGCGGAGGCTGGCCGTCGTCGTCGCCATCCTCGTGCCGAAGAGTGGACTGGTGGATGAATATGAGCGAGCCGTTTACACAAGGGAGCGGCGCTTAGTTTTCCACTATTCATATGCAAACCTCATAGATGTTGAGCTGCTCAACCAAGTCCAGATCGGTGCCTTTCCGATTCAGGTGTCTCTGAGTTACCGTCTCCATTCCTTGCTCCTCCAGACCGTCCACCATGTCGTAGAAGGAGTCTTGGTCTGGTAAGGCTGCCAAAGTCTGACAAAACAAAAAAAGGGACAGAGTTGACGGGAATAGCGTTGCGAGTCGAAACACTTTTCTAAAGAGTCTTCAGTGGAGAACCCGGTTGTGCCGCAACATGTTGGGCAGTCCACTGAGCTAGACAACAATTAAGAACAAGAACAAGAAAAAGACACGGACGGAGAAGGCTGCCATCTCAGCTCTAGTAAGCTCCAGGTGGCTCTGGAATGTTATCGCTTCCACTAAACAAGGCTTCACTAGACCAGCAATTATTATCTTTGGAATACCTTATTGATGAGGGTCATGGCATAGACCAGCAGCTCGGTGTCCACGCCGTCTTTCTCTTGCAAGATCTCCATGGCATTCGACCACGCTTTGCAACCTGCACACGCCAGTTCAAATCTTCAACCTCCGAAAGAATTTGTCAATCGACCCGATTCCAAATGATGGGTTTCATCAGCGCACCTCTCTTGGAATCCACCGTGGCGATGGCTTCGATGAGAAGCGGCGCGTTGGACTCGGAGTACTCCACAAAGACCAGCAACAGTTTCATGGCTGTTTTTAACACGAGACGGAACTAGAAGAGAGGAAATTACATTTGTACTGGACCAGGCCATCAGGCAAATCGTTTCGGATTTGAGGATGTTTTACCTTTGACCCGACAAGCGTGTAAAGCCACTCGATTGTCTCCGTGTGGCCAATGACGCCGTTCATCCCGTCAACATACAGCATGATCTGTCCCAGGGCTGTCCAACACGTGAAAATGAACACACGTACAATGAAAAAGTGAGGAGGAACGCAGCCGTTTCAAAATGACGAAACCTTGTGGACTTTTGCCCTTTGTATTTCCGCCCGACTTGACTGTTTTCTATACCTCTTAAAATGTAGTTCTGGTAGTTTTGGTCGGCTTCTGCGCCCACTTTGATGAGACACGTCAAGCCTTCGGCCATCACAAACTCATGGACAAGGTCTTTGTCATCCTGGTGTACAGAAAAAAAATGGAAATGAAGCTCATATCGTCGGCGAGATGACACCACCACACAATCATCAAAATACAGGTCCACTTCTTCCAAATTGCATTATTTCTCCCTCCCAGCAGGAGGCAGCAAAGTTCTATTTGACATTAAACCGTCACAATCAAACGCAATTTGTACAATTTGTTCGTGCCTTTTCGACCTAACGATACAAACAAGATCAACAAGTTCATTATGTTACCAAACCCAAAGGAAGCAGCCCACGCCACAGACGCACTATTTCGAAAGCACAACTTCTATTTTTATCTGATGTGTTGTTCTGCATCAAGAAGATTTGACTTGCAAAAGACTTGAAATAAAGCTATGTACCCAACTACATATTCAAATGGGATTCCATTTGTCTGCAGTGTGTGGGTGATCTTCATTTGGTGACAATATGAAAAGTCTTCTTTTGTGTATTCCAGAAAAAACATACTCTGCATGAATATAATGTAAGAACTCAGCGGGAGTCATGTGACGAAAATATGACTGGCCCCTGACAATGCACTTATGTACAAAAGTAAAAATTCATTTGCATGACAGTTATACACAGTACTCATTTTGATAACTTGGCGCATTGGCAAAAAATGTAATTATTTTCCCTCTTTTATTAACTTCCATCACATTAGCTAGCCCTGACTAGACTTTTATGCTATCAAAACAAAGCAACATTTTCCCATAGCCTTGTGAAAAAAAAATGCTTCATGTGTTGACCTTTATGCCCTCAACATTTTAACAGCAGAGAGCACGGATGTCTCTTTTCAAATGTCAGGGGATAAAAATAAAACGTAAACAGAAAATAACAATAACAAGTCCCTGAGCATGAAAAGGAACACCCAAAAATGCCACGTTGGTGAGGTGGCGAGCGTGGCCACCGCAGTTACCAAAATGTTACGCAACGCTACCAACGACTTGACTGTGAGGTTGTGGGCGCGACAGCAAGTTTCGGTCCACGTTACCTGAAAAATTTGCTTGAGCGAAAACAGCGCCCTCCTCAAGTCGCGTCCGTTGGAGTTGTACAGTCGTTCTGCAGGAAGACAGCGAGAGCGAAAATCAGACATGTGGTTGTGAAGTGTTATGATTTAATTCGGAATATCCCCAAAAGCCAAAGATAGCACTTCCTTTTTGGCAGGTTTTGTTTATTCCCCGGCTTTAAACATTTGATGAAAAAAAACCTCTGAATGAGGCTCAGATGTGCAAAGGTTTTGACAATAAATTGAGTGTGAGTCGATGGAATTCATCAGCACACATCAGTGCCCTGCTGGCCGCTGGCACTGAACGCGGCAGCGCACACTTTCGCCGTGGCCTCAGTGGCCGCACGGCACGTGTACGACCTCTCACCCCCTGTCTGCCACGCACGGACACACACACACACGCACACTTGTACACGTTGCAGCAGTGATTAGAGTTGTAATGGAATGTTAATGAGCCGCAGGCTGGGTTTCAGCAGTGAGGTATTCAGGTCACGACATGGAAAGTACTCGGGACCAAATGTTTTAAGTGCTGATAACACTGCAATGATACTTAAACCGTGTCCATCTTCCAAAATTAAAAAAGAAACAAAAATATTCTATTTATGACCTTGTGAACTGTCCTCCATATGTGATCCTTTGGAACTATTTTGCTAAAAGCGTATGAACGAGAGGACATACGTTTAAAAAGCAGCACCCCTGACGTATGCCCGGAGGCGGGCTCGCAAGGTTGCGGCGCTGGCCTGCCTGTCTGTCTGTCTGTGTGTGTGTATGGAGCTCAGTGGTAACAATCAGTGAACCAAAGTGAGGCTAACCCACGGCCAGGGTCACAATCATTATCATTCCACACCAAGAATGACGCGCCTCTCTGTCTCTCCATCGAAGCAACAACCGTGGAAGATGTCTCTCCATGCAACAGCCAAGTTGCAACCAAACAAGTTGATTGGACAAGAGTCATCCATGAGCGACAAAGTATTCTGTACAACACGGGGATTTGACATATCACAGGTGTTGCCTCACTGGTGTTGTAATCTGTTTATTCGGCCTACACCAGCGGTCACTTAGCTAACAAAGGATGTCAAAAACTCCAATTATTATTATTGTTATTATTTTGCAAGCAACTAACTCCATGGCTAACGCCACTGCTATAAGTGTTGCGGCTGAGACGAAGCAATTGATGAAATAAACAAATAAGTCCGATTTTTTTGCTGCTTATTACCGTTGATGAATGAATGCTGGTTGTCGAGCTTTTTTGATGGAAGCCATGTCACACTCGAGGTCACGGCGTTGCACTCTATATCAACACGGCCGCGATTCGATCTCTCACTTGACTCGTTCTGGTGCGATACTGCTTCAACAGTCTCCACTGGAGATGGCAACAGTAGCCAACATCATCAAACATTCTAAATGAAGCCTAGGCAGTGCTCAGCATACAAAAATAATTGAGTCAGGCATGCGAGAGCAAAATTAAACTGGTTGCGGAGAAGAGCAGCATGGTGAACTTATGGTTAGCACATCTGCCTTGCAGGTCCGAGGTTTGATGTTTGAATCTGGTCTCTTTTGTGTGGATCGCTTTGTCTCTGCGTGTTCCAGCTTCCTCCTACTTCCCAAAAAGATGCACGTTTTAGCTTCACAAAATTGTTGCATCGGTGTGAATGGGAGCGTGACTGGCTGTTCGGCCGTGTCATAAGTCGAGGAAAATGAATCCGATAAGAAAATACTTCAACATTGAGACACTGCGCACTCACTGGCCACAATCCAATGAGCCCTATCGCAGTATCAAAGCCGTCTGAAAAAGTATAGCCAGCTTTTGATGGACACTGTCAAAGCTGTGACGAAGCGCACCGCATCACACTGCAGGTATATCCAATATTTGTTTTGGATCCGACCAGATTGTGCAGCTGTCCCTCACGACGTGTCATGTGAGTGGATGGCGTTTCCACGTGCGTAAAATGTGGCAGTACAAAAACACAGACAAACTGTTTTTCACTCGAAAATGGCAGCCAGGATTATAGGTCAAACCACTAGCCTATTTGTTATGCACTTTATAATGGTGATCGTTTCCTTATGGGGACTATAAAAGGTTGCCTGCACCACTTTTATGGCTTTGTTGCCACCATTTCTGAGTTTGCTTTCAAGTCAAAGCCGGGAACGCTGTGTCTGCGCCGCTGGATCGCACTTGCAACCGCACAAAGACCCTCGAGTGACAACTGTGTTCCTCACCAAGCTGTGAGCGAAAGCTGTCAGGGTAACCTTGACTGAAACATCTGCTGTCCATCAGAGGCATGTCAGCAGTTGTGATAAGGTCCAAACGTGGCCCAATTCACTGTGGTGTAAAATGAGACATTGCACGTCCCGGAGGTTGTAAAAGGCCCCAAAATGAGGCCATGGAAATCTAAAGGCCAGGTGTCCCATTACTTTTGTCCGTACAGCACAGGTGTGACTATGCAGGTTCCTCAACATACCTGAACAGGAACAGTTAATTAGACTCGAAGCGCAGTTTGTTTTTACTCTTGCATGAGATTGGAATTTCAATAACTCACAAACAAGGCACGTCTTAAGATAGATGAAGACAAATGCCTCCAGTTGCTGAGGGAGGGAGACAGAGAAGAAGCAGGAAAGAGGGAAAAAAAACAACAAAAAAAAAAAACAACAAAAGCAAAAGCCGTGGCGTTCCAAGAGAAGAGTTGGCTGTCCACGTGGCCTACACAGACCAGGCTCTCATTTTTCCCCGGCCACGCGTTTTATTATTGTCATAAGGAAACCTGAAACACTGGCTGGGATGTGTCATTGTGGCTTGTACTTGTATTCGAGCGCTGTATGTGCACGCCAGGCGCTTATGTGCACACGGAATGTGGATGCAGACTGGATGACACGTTTTCGGTTCAAACTGTGACTGGTTTTTTTTTTTTTTTTTTTCCGGAAAGGACGCATAGTTCTTCACCCCGACCTCACAGGCGCTGGCTGCATTGTGGCAACCTCAGCACATAATTTAATCCCATATTCCACCTTAAAATAGATTTTCAAAAGTCAAGAGAAAAAATAAAAACCACCATGGGCTGCTATTGCTGTAATACGTTTGATTATAAACGCCTGTGGTCGATTTTTAAGGCCATTTTTTTTCTCAAATAGGGCACAGGGGGTATTCTCTTGCTCAACTGCAGAGAGAATAAAATGTTCATTAGAGGCTAGTTATCGATTTTAAGGGGAGGTGGAGCAAGACACACTTCTGTGTGTTGACTGGCTGTTGAAGTTACAGCCGAGCTCAGGCGTTATTTTGTTTTTTTTCCATGAAGTGATTTATTTCTTTGGCCATATATTTTAAATGCAATTAAAGTGACAGTGATTAGTTTATGTAATCATGACTAATGAGGTGTCAATCATTTGCTATGCCCTTGCAACTTTGCTGAAACCACAGCCAAATATCCAGCACCACCGGCAAATGAAAAAAAGGCCCCTCCGTCGTTTGCCAAAAACTGGGCACCTGACTCGCAAACAGAAGCCGAGCAAAGTGACGTCAGGCAGCTGAGAGGATTCAAAAGTGACGTGGAATTAGCAACATTTCCTTTACAGTTTATCTGACTTGATATTCATTCATTTAGTTGTTCTCTCTTTGGACCGATCAGTAGGGATTCCCCCACGGTAAATCGCTCAGGAGTGCTGAGATCCCTCCTTCTCCCGCCATAATGAGATTAGCGTGGTGACCCTTCAGCTTTGACTAATCCCCCAGCATTTTACACCGCATCTACTCACACGAGTCAACTGAGGCTGACGTTGTAGGCACACGGTTACCATTTGCGATACGTTCTGCCGTTAGTCAAATTAATGACAAAAATGGTCTCCAAATGACATTAGCAATGGTAGTTAGCGTTACGGATTAAATAGTCTCATTGATATTTCTGACTGGAAAACGACTATGTCAGGCTTGAAAGGGGCGCGCCACAGATGGAAGGCCCCCCATTTAAGCTCAGCTGAAACCTCTGTCTTGTGTTACTCAAAGATTTTAACAGCACGCCTCTAAAAACAAACAAACAAAAAAATCCAGCTGTGTGGCTCAACCCATCAGTTGGCTCTTAAACTTTTGCAATATATATTGTCAAAATGAATACCTCCCACATTTGTGCATTATCAACCCCAGTTACTTCACACATAAACATGAGACATTTTCATCCAAGTATTGATGTCACAGAAAAATGCGTCCATTTTATTCTAGGGGATAAAATAGAAACAAAATGGCATTCGTTCGACTGGAGAATGAAAGTGTCTCACAGAGTAAGCCCAGAGGTACACCGCAGGAAATTACCGGAGATTTTGCATGTGACAAATTATAAAACTAAATCACTTGAATGGATGGATGATTTTGGACTACATTCCACCAACAGCTGCACTTTTCCAGCCACTTACTTGACAGTCAAAATGATTGCGCCAACTCATCTTGCATTCATTTTTTAAAATGACAATCACTTCCATTTTTATGATCCAAAGGGGATCAGAGTATTGCTGTGTCAACGTGCAGCTAGTAATGCATGTTCACGAGCGTCAGCTTAGAAGGGGGGAAAAAAATAACCCATCAATCTCCCTGAGGTTAATACAGTTAGGATAATAATGCTCGATGACATTCTCATGTCAAAGCGAGGCAGAAAGGAACATTTGGCAGGCCGTGACGACGAGAGGGAGGACAACTCTGTTATTTTGCGACGGTCTATTTTCTCTCTGTTGGTCTTGGCCCATGAGGAGGAGCGCTGGAGGTTGCTGATGTTGCAGATGACGATGGAGCGCCCATGAATTTTGTGTGCGTGTGTGTGTGGAGTTTTCCTCTGGGATACATGCAAAATAAAATTGTGCAAGCTCCAATGCAAATGTCCAGGATGTGCGCAGGACTGAATGTACAGTAAGTGTGAACGTTTGTTTGGACCCTGTGATTGGATCCAGCTCACATGTGGCCCTAATGAGCACAAAGGGGTTTAGGATTTCAGACTCTGGAAGCATTTCCCATGGGGGGGAAAAAAAAATGGTTCCCTTGTACAAATTGTCGTCAACCTTCAAGATCCCACTG